GCTGCTGAACTTTAACTTCTCTGTAGCATCTTCCTCACTTCAGCAGGTGTCTCCATGGACCAGGTACTTGCAGCTTTATTTTTCACCTGCTCTGCTCCATCTTGCTCAGCTCTGTTTTTTTTTTTTTTTTTTTTTTTTTTTGTAAGATCAAGTCCTGAAGCACAAAATTTCAGTGGAGTCTGTGGTTCACTTAATGCTTTTTTTTTTTAATAGGTCTGCTTTGTGGAAATAGGCCCAGGATTATGAGCAGGGTATTGTGTACATGTGCAGCACCCTCGATTGTAACGCGTGCAGTAAGCAGAAATGAGAGCTTGTTGCTCCTGTACAGTTTTTTTAATATTAAAACAGATGGAATCTATCACGATCAGCTTTAGGAACAAACTAATTTAGATCCTCTCTTTTCCTTTAAATAACTCGAGGGGGGGGGAAAAAAGAGGATTTATTTCACATAATCCTTCCAAGCAGAAGATTTATGCATATATATGTATAAGCTTTGTTTTGTGAAGATTAAAAGCTATTAATAAAGGATCAAGAACACTGAAGTTAGCAAGTGGCCGAAGGAGAAATCCCTTCCTGCAGTGTTCTAGCAGCAAAAGTTGCTCACCCAGATATTGCAGACGCTCGTCCAAGTCCCTCTGCCTGCACGGAGCTGAGCCCCTGCGTCCCAGGATGGGGATAACCATCACTGCTGCAAAAATACCTGGTGAGCTTCTGCATGCTTGGTCTCTTCTGCTGACCCGGAGTTAATAAGTGAAGAATCACATTTCAGCTGAGCATACGGCTGTGCATATTGTTTCGGGTTTTCTGTAGGGATTGAAATCTCTGATGAAAAAAGCAACACCTCGAGCAGAGGCTGCTTCCTGCAGGTAGGATGGAAACCAGCAGCACCCCTGCCTGCACCCTGACTTCCTGGTAGCCCAGGGAGGAGGAAAGTGTTTTGGGTAGGAGAAGAAGTAGGCCACAGAAATTGCCATGAACAGAGCCTAGAATTATGTTTTGTTTTCTTAATTTGGAGGAAACAGTTCAATGGCTGACTCACTGGATCTAAGACTGGGGGCTGTTGTGACTGTGGTCACCACCTTCGTGTTGGAAGGAGCCAAGCCCCTGCTCTTCTTCCTCTCCCATTTCTCTTTTTTGACCTGAGAGAGTTTAGCAAATTTTTACTGAGGTTTTAGTAAATTCAAGTTCAATTCTCCAGTAGTTTCAAAATACATCCTTTGGTGAATTTTCTCAAATTTCCTTCTTTTAGTTAGTAAGTGAGCATATAATAGTGATTTAATTTTGAGGAGCCACTAGGCATAGCAAAATCATGATCTGATTAATCTAAACTAATCAGCGCTGTGACAACTTTTTTTCCCCACACTGAATGCAAATCCTTGGTAACACAGAATTGGGATGCTTGAATGGATCTAGAAATTACAAAATAAGAGCATGTGCAAGCAAAACAATTACAAGCCTATGGACTGAAACCCCTTCCCTCCCTGATGAGTAAACCACACGATCTGAAACAGAAGAGGGAAGGCACTACCAGGCTAGCTTTTCAGCTGCTCTAGCTAGGTCTCTTTTATCAAGAAAGATGTTGATCTGTGCCACCTGAGGGCATGGGGGAAGGAGGGAAGGTGTATGAAATTTTTATAAGCTTTCCCATAAACACCACAGTTTGTCTCTGTTTTTCATTTGGAAGCACTAGGGATTCACGTCAGAGTTTTGTGTTTGGGGTCTGCAGCTTGACACCTCAGCTGCTCAGAGAAGGTGCCAATTTGGCTCTTTTAAAGGTTGACTGTGTGTATATAATCTTAGGTAGATTTATTCTTATATTAAATGACGACAGGTTAAATTCTCTTTCAGCTTCTCTGCTGGCCAGGACTAGTGGGATCCTGTAGAACAATGATTGGAAGCAGGGTCAAAGCGAGACATGCAGCATTTCCCAATGAAATGGAGGAAGATTTCATTTCCATGGAAGATCTGAGATTCAAGAAGAGTTCAGTTTGCTCTTTCCTTTCCCATCTGTGAAACAAATTACCTGAGAAACCTCTTAGTTTAGACTTAAAGGCAATGCAGCAACCAATTTGAATAGATCAGTGACCCCCCAAAAATAAATATAATATTCAAGAGGAGTTTTCTCCCATACATTGTTAAATGGAACCCCAGCAGTGTGTGTGAACTGTTCGGGGGACCCTTGGTGCATGCCACTTCAAAAAAGGCCAAAAAAAAAAAAAAGCCATGATGGCAAGTACAGGTAGGTGTTGGAGGGAAGGTGCCGTTTCCACCTAAAGTTTAGGTGCATGCAAGTTTTTTTTTTTTTTTTTTTTTTTTATTCTTGAAGCATCCAAATTCATCTATGGAACTGGAGTGTTGTGACCGTCTATCTGTTGTCACTCTTTCGAGATGTTTTTCTGCCTGTAGGTAGGAGCTTTAATGAGTTAAGAGGGAAAAATGTTGAAGGAATGGAAGTGAGTTCCCACTTGCAGACAGGGCTGTGCCTCCTGCACAACTTCAGCAGCATGGAGACACTGGCTCTGCACTGCTTTATCTCCCACAAGGAGTTTCCATCATCCTCAGGCACGGGGCAATCCTAAGAGCTTGTGGATAATGTCTGAGAAGGGTGAAAGCCGTGCTTTCTGTGTGCTACTGCTGGAAAGCTCGCTCCTGATCTGCTTGGGCTCTGGATCAGGCTTGCCATGGATTGTCACATGTGTTTTTTTAAGAATGGAGCTTTACAGGGCAGGTGAGTGAAGACATAATTGCATATAGGGCAAGATATAAAAGGGGTTGAACGGAGAAGTTTGTGTGTACGCATATATCTACACAGGGATGGGGAGATGGGGGGACTCTCCACCAGAGATAAAGGGCTGGAAAAGGATCAGGCTGCAGGGTGCAGCAGAGAAAAAGACAAACTAGAGATGATATCAATGAAGGGCAGGGAATAAAGGTTCAAAATATCATGTTGGCCAGAAGTGTGATGATAATAGAGCAGATGTGCTGTGTGTGAAACAAAGCTCACTCACTTCTGGCCTCGCTCGATCCCAGGAGCTCAGCCCCAGTGTGCGGCACTGCTGCTGCTCAGGCAGGACTGGCAGGTGGTGCTAATTAGGCTGGTGTGTTTTATGATGGTACTATTAAGCAGGGTTATTTATACTATCATACTTCTCATTTTATCACTTGCTGACTTCAAAGCATTCTCCTTTTGGATAATGAAGCTCGATGTTTTCGTACCTCGCAATGTCCCATTACTCCATGAAGACACCGATGCCGGTAAGGTACGGCGAGCTGACAGTTTTATTCATTGACTACTGCTAAATACTCATAGTCTGCATGGAGCTATTATGTGTTGTACTTTAGATAATGGGCTGTAAATAATAACAAAATCGAGTTGCTGAATGCCCTTATAGGTGACATTAAGTTTCATGAAGATATACGTTAAAGCCATGCAGAAATAATTTCCGCAAGACAGCCTTAATTTTCAGCCTCAATTTCTAAATATTGCCTATTATGTTCCATGGCCTCTGGAGATTACATTTTTATTCAATGGTGACAAATGAAATTTCTTTTTAAGAATACCTGTTCACCAAATAGGCCTGCATGGTATTTCTGTGTCATCCTGGGAGCCCTGGAGCAGCCCACCTGGCTGCCTCACCCCCGTGCAGCACAAAAGCAGGAGCTTTTCATGCTAACAGCAGAAGATTGGTGAAAGTTGCAAATCTGACCCAGGAATGTTTTCTTTCTTTCCCCTACTAAATGCTGATGGACACTCATTACCAATTCTCAGTAGGAGTTATCAGCCTAATAGGTTTCATCCCTCTGGAGGGGCTTAAAAAAAAGTTTGCTTTCATAGGTAGCTTCACAGAAAGATCCTGACAAGAAGGAAGCCCCCTTGAAGGCTGTCATGCCAGTGGAGATGGCTGCTCCTGCCTTCCTCTGCTGAGTGGCTGGGCTGTTAGGAAATGCCACATTGCCTTGAACTGCTTCTCCTTGCCTTCATACTTGATCTTTATTACTGTGCAACGTTAAAGAGAGAGGTTCAAATTGTAGCTGGTGGCAGCTCTCTAAATGGGGCTGTTGGGATACAGTAAGAGCAGATCTGTCGAAGTATATGAAAGTAAGTGAATAATAGGAGGAGGCAAAAGAGATAAGAGAGAAATAGAGGATGTGACCATGGCCAGTTGTGATCCTACTGGCCTGGAGGTGTGTGCAGGCAGAGCACGTGGAGCTAACGCCTCCAGCAACACAGCAAACTGGACAGGGTGAAGGTGTGCAAGGTGAAGGGCTGTTCTTGGGAACACAGGGCTGGAAGATCTTACCTGGTGCTGGTCTTCAAAGAATGTTGTCCCACAGGTCACCTTTAGATAGATTAATTCTCTTTTGGAGGTGTCCAGGAGAAGGAAACAATCTTGTGTGTTACCCAGGTGAGGAAAATCCTGACCTTGCTGACTTGATTGCAGAATTCCTCCCAGCTTCACTGGCTTCAAGGATTTACATCTATAAAGTTTCTCATATATAGGCATACACACATGTATATACAGGCACACATCTGTCAATTCATCTATACACACACAATAACACACATCACCATCTGCCCACTGTTTTCTCTCTAACCCTGTCCTTGAGGGACCTCGGATCCCACCCATAACTAAGTTCTTGTGCCAAACACTTGTTTAGTTTGGTTTCCCAAATTCCTGTCTTTCTCTCATGGGTCTCTTAGTTTCTTATGTGATGTCCTCGTTTTCCAGTTAATGTAGTAGTTGCTTGTCTCTCAACTCCTCTTTCAGCTGTCTTCTGCCTTTGGTACTCATAAGAAGGCGTCAGATAACTGAATCTTGCTGATGAAAAGGAAATGTCCAGTAAGTCTTTTGTGAAATACAGCTTCTTGCAGTAGGTTTAGGTGCTGTTTCAAGGTGAATGGCTTTGTGCTGCTTCAGGAAGCAGGTGCTCAAAGTCTTTAAAAAGTTGTGAATTCAAATAAAAATAAATCTTAAACATTCTCTGATGTTTTGTGGTAGGCTCAAAGGACTGATGGCTCTGTGAAGCAGCTGAACAGCAAGGAGAACAGCAGAAGAAGAACAGCTGAACAGCAGAGAAGTCAGAGTAGTCATCTCAATGAACAACCAACCTTTGCCCGTGGTGAAATAGGATCTCATGAGAACAACATTTTGTGATTTCTCAACTTCCTATCCACCTACCACACTTGAAGCTAATACTTTTGACTTTTCTGGAGCTAAGAACACGTAACATAATCCCGGTACAGGAGAAGGCTTCTTCAGAATGTGATTACTGCTTCATGCCTGAAGGGTATGAGAAAGTGTCCTGAAATGGCATGGCCTCAGCTCTGGGCCATCTCCGGGAAGTCCCAAGTGGTGGCTGAGGACAGGATTCTCCTCCCATTCACCACGCACCAGTCTTACCTCTGCTGGAGGCTAAGCAGTGCAAAGAGCAATTTGCTTAACTGTGGCTGGTGAACTTCAGTGCCTCCATGTAAAATCCATGCACGTAACGACTTCATACACATTTCCAGAAGCTAACGCCTGAGATTTGGCTCATTAAAATCCAAATGGCGCGCTAGTAAAATGAAGTCTACCGATGTACCAGATTTGTGCACTGGAAAGTGGGATTCAGTCAGATCTCCCAGTCGTTTATGAGCAATAAATACTCAGTAGCTCAGGATACATGCTTTCCTACTTTGTGCAGGTTACTAGAGGAAAAACCTTCTGTTGCACACAAGGACAGCTCTCGCTAGTGCTGAGGACACTCTTGTGGGCAGCATTTGGTGCAAGTGGTGTTAGACGTGCAGCACTGACCTGCAGCAGCCCTGGGGTTTGAGGCACCACTCTTCTATGCCAACTCCCTTAAAAGCAGCTGGAACAACCCACGTGCATCATCTTGCTTGTGTGTTTGTGTCCTGGGAGTGCTTCCTGCAGCTCAGCTGAATGTGCAGAGCCTCTCGGTGGAGAGGGGAGTGCCACCAGGGAATAGCAGGGAACAGCTTTTCTGCGGTGGAGCCGCCAAAGTGGCTTTGTTCCGAGTGCTTTGTTTCAGTGCTTCCTGAATAGGGACGATATTACTCGCAGGCTGAAGAGCTTTGCCGTTTGGAGCGTAAGATGGTTTAGAATTGGGCCCAATTTATATGGAATAGGTTTATTTCTGTAGTAATGGCTTCTTCTAGGATAAGAGGGTTTATAGCCCTTCCCTTTGGAACCGTTGTCGCTCTGACTAGGCTGTCTAGACAGCTCGGTTTTCAGGCATATTCACCACACTGTGCCTCTACAGTGGGTAATAATATGTCAAAGCCATAATATTGCCAGCTAAGGCGTGCTCCGAAGGGGGAAGTGATTCTGCCTCTTCTTTTCATAGGGAGGATCGGAAAAAGTCCAGCTCCTGTTAGTGCTGTGCAGGAGGGGAAGGTCCATGGTCTGCTGCTCTTGTGGTCTGTGGTTGGGGGGCTTTCAGACCCGTCTCTCCCTTAAATGCACGCTGCTTTCCTCGGGAGCACTGCAAGAAGGAAAAGAGCAGGGAAGCTTTTAGCTGTCTACTTCAAATAATGAATTACTTAGAACAGCTTTCCTTCTGGGGGGAAATAGCTGGTGATTATGCTATGGGATTAGTTGCCCTCAGGAAAAGCTTATTCTGTTTCCTTACCAGATTCCAGGTCAGACAGGAGATCTTCACAAGCCTCATCTTGTTTTGTGTGCCCTTTCCTTCAAGGACACTTCAGAAGCATGGAATGGTTTGCTGTGCATGACCTGGCCGAGCTGAACACCACGGTGAGGTGGTGGGCGATGTTTTACCATGCTTTGAGTTCTGTAAGTGCTTGTTTATACTCCTTTGACAGCTTGGTGAGAAAGAAAAATAGTGTAGAGGCATAATTATCTCCAAGTAGGTGCCCACTGTGCCCTTCTGCACAGCCTTTGTGCTTTTAGGGAGTGTTCAAACAACTTCTTTTAGCTTATATTAAAGACATTTGGAAATGAAGTACAGAAGACACTATGCAAATAGATTTTGGAGGAAGGCTCCTGTTTTCTAGACTACTTATAAATATGTGTTGCGCAGCTCTGCTCAATAAAATTAATCACGGATCCAAAGTTTTACCACCTGCAATGGGATTTCTGCACTTCCCATAAAAACAACTAGTAGAATTTAGGATTTGCAGGCCTGTGATCTGCAAAACCCTTGGGGAGCACAGAAATGCCCCAAAGCCTTTGGATACCAGCAGTGGACTCTTCATTGTAGAGCAGGGTGCAGTTTGGAGTTCACACGTGGGCTGGGTTCCCAGTGCTCCCTTAGTACATAGTGGGGTGAAAAAGTAGGTACTGCTGAGATATATCCCCTTTTAGGCACTGGGAAAGTGGATGGTAACATTGGATGTGATCCATCTATTCTGGATCACTGACTCGAGTATCTCTGCCAAGGAGACTGTGGCACATAATCCCTTTCAGAAAAAATCTGTAGTTTAAGACTCTACTGCTCTTCAGAGAGGCTGTTGCAGCATCTCTGCTTTGGTGGCTAAAAACTTTAATTTCCAGATTAACTATATTTACAGGCACTTTCAGATCATTTGTTGTTATGCCAAAATCACTCTGTTTTAAATGCATATTTCTTTTTCTGGTAGTGATGTTCTGAGGTTGTTGAGGCTTTGTTTTATATTGAAAAGCAAAAGAAACACTTGTGGTGGTTTATAGCTAAAATTAGGTGGAGGTGAGACTTCAGGGCATCTCAGAATCTTGTCGGGAACCGAAACAGGCATTCAACTGAAACATAGCACTGCCTTTGATCTGGGACACATGGACTTGAGTTCACAGAATCACACAGAATCACAGAATCTCTAGGTTGGAAGAGACCTCAAGATCATCGAGTCCAACCTCTGACCTAACACTAACAGTCCCCACTAAACCATATCCCTAAGTTCTACATCTAAACGTCTTTTGAAGACTTCCAGGGATGGTGACTCAACCACCTCCCTGGGCAGCCTGTTCCAATGTCTAACAACCCTTTCAGTAAAGAAATTCTTCCTAACATCTAACCTAAAACTCCCCTGGTGCAACTTTAGCCCATTCCCCCTCGTCCTGTCACCAGGCACATGGGAGAACAGGCCAACCCCCATCTCGCTAGAGCCTCCTTTAATATACTTATACAGAGTGATAAGGTCACCCCTGAGCCTCCTTTTCTCTAGGCTGAACAAGCCCAGCTCCTTCAGCCGCTCCTCATAGGACTTGCTCTCCAGGCCCCTCACCAGCTTCGTCGCCCTTCTCTGGACCCGCTCAAGCACCTCGATGTCCTTCTTGTAGCGAGGGGCCCAGAACTGAACACAGTACTCGAGGTGCGGCCTCACCAGAGCCGAGTACAGGGGGACGATCACCTCCCTAGCCCTGCTGGTCACAGTGTTTCTGATACAAGCCAGGATGCCGTTGGCCTTCTTGGCCACCTGAGCACACTGCTGGCTCATATTCAGCCGACTGTCCACCATCACTCCCAGGTCCTTCTCTGCCTGGCAGCTCTCCAGCCATTCCTCTCCCAGCCTGTAGCTCTTCTTGGGGTTATTGCGCCCCAGGTGCAGGACCCGGCACTTGGCCTTGTTAAACTTCATACAGTTGACCTCAGCCCATCGGTGCAGCCTATCCAGATCCTCCTGCAGAGCCTTCCTACCCTCAAGCAGATCGACACACGCACCTAGCTTGGTGTCATCTGCAAACTTACTGAGGGTGCACTCAATGCCCTCATCCAGATCATTGATGAAGATGTTAAAGAGGACCGGCCCCAGCACCGAGCCCTGGGGGACGCCACTAGTGACTGGCCTCCAACTGGACTTGGCTCCATTTACCACAACTCTCTGGGCCCGGCTATCCAGCCAGTTTCTAACCCAACGAAGCGTGCGCCAGTCCAAGCCAAGAGCAGCCAGTTTCTTGAGGAGAATGCTGTGGGAAACGGTGTCAAAAGCCTTGCTGAAGTCAAGGTAGACCACATCCACAGCCTTTCCCTCGTCCACCCAGCGCGTCACTTTGTCGTAGAAGGAGATCAGGTTCGTCAAGCAGGATCTGCCTTCCATAAACCCATGCTGACTGGGCCTGATCGCCTGCTTGCCCTTCAAGTGCCGCATGATGACTCCCAAGAGGATCTGCTCCATGAGCTTCCCTGGTACTGAGGTCAAACTGACCGGCCTGTAATTCCCCGGGTCTGCCCTCTGGCCCTTCTTGTAGATGGGCGTCACATTTGCTAGCCGCCAGTCAGCTGGGACCTCCCCCGATAGCCAGGACTGCTGATAAATGATGGATAGGGGCTTGGCCAGCTCCTCTGCCAGTTCTCTCAGTACTCTTGGGTGGATCCCATCCGGCCCCATCGACTTGTGCACATCCAAGTGCCGTAGCAGGTCACCAACCAGTTCTTCGTGGATGGTGAGGGCCACATCCTGCTCCCCGTCCCCTTCCACCAGTTCTGGGTACTGGGTATCCAGAGAGCAACCGGTTTTACCACTAAAGACTGAGGCAAAGAAGGCATTGAGCACCTCCGCCTTTTCCTCATCTCTTGTAACTAAGTTTCCCCCCGCATCCAGTAAAGGATGGAGATTCTCCTTAGTCCTCCTTTTTGTGTTGATGTATTTATAAAAGCGTTTTTTGTTATCTTTAACGGCAGTAGCCAGCTTGAGCTCCAGATGAGCTTTGGCCTTCCTAATCTTGTCCCTGCACAGCCTCGCTACATCCTTATAGTCCTCCCTAGTGGCCTGCCCAATTTTCCAAAGATTATAAACCCTCTTTTTCCTCCTAAGCTCAAGCCACAATTCTCTGTTGAGCCAGGCTGGTCGTCTTCCCCGGTGGCTCATCTTTGGGCACATGGGGATAGACCGCTCCTGTGCCATTAGGATTTGCCTCTTGAATAGCACCCAGCCTTCCTGAACCCCTCTGCCCTTCAGAACCGCCTCCCATGGGACTCCACCAACCAGTGTCCTGAGCAGCCTAAAGTCAGCCCTCCGAAAGTCCAATACAGTGGTTTTACTGGTTCCCTTCCTGGCCCCGCCAAGAATAGAGAACTCAACCATTTCGTGGTCACTTTGCCCAAGACTGTTCCCGACAATCACATCCTCCACCAGTCCTTCTCTGTTTGTGAAGAGAAGGTCTAGCAGGGCACCACCCCTGGTAGGTTCACTAATCAGCTGCGTCAGGAAGCTATCTTCCACTTTCTCCAGAAACCTCCTAGACTGCTTCCTCTGGGCTGTGTTGTGCTTCCAGGATATGTCTGGGAAGTTGAAGTCCCCCACGAGTACAAGCGCTGACGATTTCGCAACTTCTGTCAGCTGCCAGTAGAACTCCTCATCCGTCTCCTCATCCTGGTTCGGCGGTCTATAGCAGACCCCGACCAGGACACTAGCCTTGTTGTCCCTGCCGATCCTAACCCAAAGGGACTCGATCTTGTCATTCCTAGCCTCGAGTTCTACAACATCGAAAGACTCTTTAATATAGAGAGCCACACCGCCACCCCTTCCATGCTGCCTGTCCCTTCTGAAGAGCCTATAGCCAGGCATCGCAGCACTCCAGTCATGAGACTGGTCCCACCACGTTTCTGTGATGGCAACCAAGTCGTAGCCTGCCCGCTGCACGATGGCTTCCAGCTCCTCCTGTTTGTTACCCATGCTGCGTGCATTGGTGTAGATGCACTTCAGCTGGGCCTTTACCTTATCCTCCGGCCTTGCCACTGCTCCCCCTGGTACAGCCCCAACAGTCCTCGCTCCAGCCCCATCCCCCTTCTTACCTAGTTTAAAGCCCTATCAATGAGCCCCGCCAGCTCCTGGCCCAGGATCCTTTTTCCCCTAAAGGATAGGGACCCGTCTACGGCCACCAGACCAGGTGCTGAGTAAACTGCCCCATGGTCGAAAAACCCAAGATTTCTGCGTAGGCACCAGCCCCGGAGCCACGTGTTTAACAGGTGGGCTTTCGTTGTCCTCTCCGTACCCCTTCCTGTCAACGTAGGGACGGACGAAAAAACTACTTGCACTCCTGCTCCGTCCACTAACCGTCCCAGTCCCCTAAAGTCTCTTTTGATAGCCTTCAGGCTTCTGTTGTCAATGTCATCAGTGCCCGCCTGGATTATCAGGAGCGGATAATAATCAGAGGGGCGCACCAGGTTGGGGAGCTAAGTTACTAAGGTCCTCTCTGATGGTCTCTCCTGGCCAGCTCTCCTGTATGCAAGGCAGAAGCAGAGGCAATGTGCTGTTGCTTAACGATGCAGCCAAAATCTCTGAGGTCTCTTAAAGTTCAAGCACTTCTCAAACAAATATCTAGTGTTTGATTTTGGTTACCAGCAGAGATGATGCTGTTGCCCAGCTATCAAGCCTCTGCCTATTTAAGGAGTGCATTAACTGAAGGATATACATAAATCCCTCTTGAACAGAATCAAACCCACGGTGATTACACAAACCCAGTCATCCACTCCCTCGCATCCCCTGGGAGCACCAGCATCTGGCGTCGGCGCCTGCTCTGAGCAGAGATGCTCTCACAGCCTACAAACCATCATCCTGTGCTACCTCTCTGAGTAATACCAGGGCTAAGGATTGATCTGGCCCCTGCTTAATGTTCTCTTAGCGAAAGTAATTAAAAATTTCCAAAAGTAAACCAAATCAAGCCAATTAAACTGTAATGTGATCAAGGCTTGACTGAGATTTATCGTCTTTTCCGTGGCTTGAAATGCTGGCAGCTGGATGAATGCAGCAGCAGCGATGAGTGTGCACGTGTTAGATGGGACTTGACTTAAAGCACAGGCCTGCTTGAGTAACTCAAAGCAAAAAAAAAAAAAAAAAACACAACATGCTTGAGGTTTCTTCATTTCTTTTCAGCTTGTCAGGGGATGTGAAGTCCTGGAAAGTTTGTGGCTGTGGTCCAGGATGGCTTTCAGACCTAATCCCCCTGAAGCAGGGGCTCTGTTCATCTCAGGGAGGTTATAAGCACTATTCATAGTAGTCCGGGCAACAAGGAGGGATCCTTTTTTTTTTTTTTTTTTTTTTTTTTTTTTTCTCTCCAGGTCATATAACTGTATACCGCATGTCCAAAAAGAATGAGGATGGAGTGAGTCTGAAATAGGAAGTCTTCTGTACCTTGATAAGAAACCGTTGCACCTCCCCTTGCTGCAGGATGCCTACAGGCAGGAGCCACGCTGCATGGTCAGTTGTGCAGCCTTATTGCACCCCTCTTGTAGCTGAATGGGGCAGCCAGCAAAACAGACTTTGACAAACAACATGTGTTGTTTCTTCTGCTTTCCTTGTGCCTTCAGAGGGTAGAGAAGGTATTTCAGAAGCTTCCCTGAAATTAGGGAATTCCTTCCTCTTCTTAGTGTTTTGTGTGGTAGATCGATATTTTTTAATTTACATTTTGAGGATGCCTTTAAAAAGGAAAGGTCGCGGATGGTTTTTATCAGAATGAGGAGGCTGAGATCCCTTACAATGCAAAATCCAGACTTACAACACGACTTTCTCCACGGCATCTGAGCATGTTGTTGTTTAGTTGGAATAGACTGTGCAAGAGTGTGTGGCCTTCTGATTTTGAAGGACAAATGTGTTTTTGTTTGAGGCTGAGTAAGGCTACAGCTTGTGATGTCCCAAACACATGCAGAAGTCACCTGCCTGCTGGTGCCCTTCCAGGCCAGCGGTGGCTGTGCCCAGGACCGTGCAGGCATGAGGAATTGCCAGTTCTGAGCACAGTCCTTGTGTCGGATTGGTGTCAGGGGTGAGAGAAGCTCCGTGTTGGAGGAGGGTTGGTTTTCAGCTCCTCGTTCCTTAAATACCCTCCAGAGCTATGGCTGTGAGACGTTAACAGAAATTAGACCTGTCAACTGCAGACAGGCTGAGCGTTACCAGGAGTCCAATAACTTGGATTAACATCTATCTGCCAGAGGTGCTCTGGGTTGTCTGAATGTCTTCCCTCCCCCATGCTCATTTTGGTGTGCTGAAGCTGTAGGATGCAGCTGTGTCCTTCCTGGGCAGTGACCTGAGGTGCAGATGGGCCCATCCCTCCTTTCCCAGTCCTGTTATCCTGAGGAATTCAGTGCCTTGAATGAGGCACTGGCAGAAGAAATTTTTTAGGCTTAATCAGTGTTAATTTCTTCAATGTTTATTGGCATAGAAACTAGAGTGAGGGTCTCCTTCTGCCCAAATGTCCACACAACGCTTGGTGTAATGCTTCCAGACTCATTAGGTGATGCAGAAAGGGTTCAGCAGCTCTAAAAAACTGGGGGAATGTCCAGCCCCAGGAAGACCTTGTGCACATGATGATCAAGTGGTGACGTGGAAGAGGCAAATTCCATTTTTTCCATGAAACAAACCCATTTTGCTGGATAGACTCTGAGCTTTGGGCTAAGCAAGGGCAGCTCAAGAAGAGGGAAAAGATGCTGCAGCTTTCTCCAGTTCTGCATTGCTCGGGGATGTGTGGAACTATTCGGTCCTGCCCAAGTTGTGGTAACCCTAAGTGTACCCTGAGCAAGTCCTTGGGAACCAAGACGACTTTATTGGTGAAAACACAGCCAGTAGAAGGCCTTTGCTCCTTTTTGCCTGCGTGGTAGATGTACGAATGTTATGAAGATCTGCATATTGGACTTCTCTCCTGTTATGCAAGCAGAAATCTAGCCTAGCCCAAATTTACTGGAGTGCGACTGCTCTCTTAGCTTGGTACTGGTTGTTCTTCAGTCCTACTCAACTGCCCCATATTTCTCTATTAACTGTATTTTTTTAAACTATATTTCTACATTTCATCCTCCAGAACTTGTAGCGAGCATGCAGAGCAGGGAGCTTTGCCACATAAAATATTAGCGAATTGCCGAATGCTCTTGAATGCAGGCTGGGATCAATTTGCAGCACGGTTCTTGAAGTCTGACAGCTCTTGGAGGCTTGCAATAGCCAGATGTGCGTGTAGAGCACAGCTCCAGCGTGTGCTACTGCTGCTGACTGATCATCTCAGCATGCCCTGGTCCCTTGCAATGCACTTGACAGGTATTCCTGTTCCTCCTAGTGAGTGATTAATGTCTCATCTCATGCAGCCCACCACAGGTGTCTGCTTCACGAAGCTTCATAAGGATAACAAGGCCTTAGACACCTGGAGAGGATTGTTCTGGGATGGAGCAGTGGAGTTCTGGTTAAGTCCTTGGGTCTGCCCTGTGCAGAAGGAAAGGAGATGGTGTCCTGTCCTGGCTGGCAGCTCAGGGGCAGATCTTACTGCCCAGCTGCTTCCTTATCCATCCGAATATCTGAGGGCTTCATGGCCATAGCTGCCAACCTGTGTTGGGCAGCAGGCTGTTGTCAGAAAAAGAGGAGAAAGGAGAAAACTTAGTGCAAGACAGGTTATTGCTCTGCAGGGATAAGGAAGTCTGGGCCAGGCAGGTGCATTGGCCTTCTGCTGCAGTCCCCGTCCATTTGAAAATATTTTAGTTCTGGAAAGTATCTGGATATACTTCAGGCAGCAAGATTTGCTTGCTGATCCACTGCCTCATGCAGGTCCCCGAGAGGCAGCTGGGGCGGAGGTGGAAGGGTCAGAGGGGTATGGGCTGTGCCAGGCTTGGTGGCACTTGAAGTGTCCCTCTTATACTGAGCTGACACCACCTGGAACTGCAGGAAGCCTCCCGACATCTCAGCAGTGCAGACACAATCCCCCAGGTGCATTTTGCTGCTCCATCTTTTAAGGCTGACTGAAAATGTTGCTGGTGGGAGTTGTTTCCATCTGTTTACCAAGGGTATCCTCAATGGGGAAAGCTGATTTTGGGGAGTGCTCAGTGCAAATGGAAGGAACTAATTAACTGGAATTAACTGGGATGCTCACATAAGTGTCTAGGAGCTATTTTTGTAGAGATGAATGCTACACTGGGGGAAATTAAGGTCAGAAGTACAGGAAAAAGTACATACAAGAAGAACTGATAAATCTGCTGGTGGTGAGGACTTGCAAAAACCCATCCACTCACTGAAGGACAGGCTCCTCTTGGAGTCCAGTATCCAGGACCGTGAGCTCGCTCAATAAATTGGTCCTATCCACAGACAGCCAAAGCCTGCCGGGAGGTCCCTCAATCACCTTAGCATTGGGACTTGCTGCTTTCCAGTGCCGAGAGGTGACACAAACGGACTCGTGCCTTGGCCTCAGTGTGCTGGGGATGAGGGAGGGTGATGAGTGTGGCTGGTGGGGAACACAAAGAAGCCTTTTCTGTGCTGACTTTACCAACAATCTCTCCACAGGAATCCCAGGGCTGTGCCTACCCCAAAACCTCATCAGCAAATACCTCATCCATGTGTTGAAGGCAGCAAGAAGGATTGTCACACCAACGTTGTTGCTCTTAGTGGGACAGCCACAGCATCGTACAGTGACCAGAGAGCCTCCTGGAAGCCAGTGGCAGAGGGAGCAGTGGGTGTGATGTGAAGGAGTGCTGGAAGAGTGACCGACGTGATGGAGAGCAGCCCTGTCATGCTGAGCTCCCAGGATGTGTTTGGGTAATCCTAAAAGACTGCTTGGAGAAGCAGAAAGACACAGGGAGAAGAAGAAAGCAGGAGGCTGGCACAGCCGGCTCTGGAAATGATCAGAGGTAAAAAGCTCTCACAGAGGAAAAGCAGATTCTTGAAGAGAGAGGAATGTAGAAAAGTAAACTAGACATGGTGAGGAGGAAAAAAAGAAATGTGCTCTGTGATGTCAGTTTTGGAAGACTCTAGGTTTTGTTTGTACTTGCAGGCTTTCAAAACTTGCTTTGCTGTCTCTCTGCGGCAAGGGATTTGCTGAAGTGACAATCACACTGGCTGCAAAACACGCAGTTAAAGCTCTGTGTGGCCCTAACAAGCTGTGGCTGCCGGCTCGTGAAAACGTCCTATTTTCTGGCCATGTTTGGGATATTCCAGAAGGCTGACACCTATTGTGAATTATTAAAGCCAGTGAATATAACGTTCCCCCATTTCTGTGACCAGAGTTCTGGTAGAAATTAGGGAATGGTTGACCCATGCCTTGTAGCCATAGGGAAGATGTTGGAGAATATTATCATTTTCTAAGCAAAATCATCCAGAACAGCAGAAGAGATGCTAGCAGATGTAAGGAATGACACAGGCGAAGGCTGGCATGATCAGAACTCCAAAAGAACTGTTGTTGAGGAGAGTCAGGCCCAAAGCAGAGACAGCTGAACCATTCAAGAACATTTTCTCTTATGGGGCTTGGAGCAGATAGCTGAAATTAGGAGAATTCAGTTCTGGCTGCTACAGGCAGTTGTCTAATCCCTCTATTCCTAGGCTACACCTATGGCAGTTTAGGTCAGTAATATTTTTCCACCTCTTTTTCGAAGCATTTTTCTAATCCCTGGCTGTGATGTGATGCAAGTCTAAAGGTAGGGGGATAATTATTCAGCTGCCTATCCAATCTGTTTGATCTCCCTCGTCTAATCTCCATTATCTTCAAAAACAGGCAATAGGTGCTTTTGATGCAGCCTGTGATCAGAAGCCACGCACAGAAAGCAGAAAAGTAGGGCACCTGGCCATTTTCAAAGTGAAACTGCAGTCTGTTCCTCGACTGCGTCCTGATCAGAAGCAGGCTTTTTCCATCTACAAATGGACTTTCATCTCCCTTTCTCCTTACCCGTCATAACAAACAGCTTTTTTTTTTGGTGAAGCTGTCATGGCTGTTCAAAAGGCTTCTGTATCAGAAGTCTTGGGATGAAGAGACAGCATCTGGGGATTGCCTGCGAGAGCTGTGTTTAGTGTGGGCTTGAGAGGTTTTGCTCTTGCACTGTAGTTTTAAAAATGCTTGTGGGGTAAAACATTTTGATCAATTATTACGATAATGACACGAGAGTGTGGAATTATGAGCATAATTATAATTACCATTTTTATGCACAGTTAATTAATCATAAAATACTACATTATAGAATTTTTCTGTTTAATGAAATTCATTATAGAGGCCCCCGAAGCCTTAAATTTAATGTTAAACAAATTAAACCTGTGTCCAGGGTTAGGGCTATTAGCACAAATGTGGCCTTGGATCAGTTGCTCCAGCAGGATGTGGTGAGCCATTAGCCAAAGGAGCAACCCTTCCTGACCACAGGTACCTGCTCCAGAGGGAGGTGAGCTCTTTTTTGGTTACCCTGGTGTTATCTCGGGGTAGCTCATGTGCAAGTCATTGAAAAAGGTGTGAGTTGGTGAGCCTCGAACCCAAGAGTTTGGAGGAGAGCTTGTGCTGGCAGCAGGAGGCTGGTTCCCTCAAGGTACTGGAGCTAAGGGGGCTGGAGGGAAACCTTCCCTCATCTTCCTGGGCATAACTTGTCTGTGGTCCAGTTTTCAGCTCTCCCATAATGCTGTAATGCAAAGAGAGCAGAGCGTGGAGGACCAGTTAGCTTGCCTTGCAGAAACACTTCTACAACTAGATATTGAACTTTTCTAGTCCTGCATATCAAAGACTTACGAGGCACCTCCTGGAGCATGCTTTGGGTGTGGAAATTCCCAGTGATTTCAGTTGCACTTCTTTGAAAGAGGGGAGGCTAATTTTTGGGATGGGAAGGCCAGTTGGCAGTAGGTGGGAACCAGCATCACTGTCATTGCTTTGCAGTCAAATTTCCTCCAAAGAACTGTCCTGATTGAAGTAGGCTGTAGATAATTCCTCACACAGCAGCAAATTGAACGGGCATCCTCTTTCTTTGTGAGCTTGTTCTCTTGAGGTAGGTGCCAGTAGGCAGGGGACTGTTCACAGCACCATTCACCAGCGTCGCTCTGGGATTAAAGTTGTGTTTTTTTTTTTTTTTTTTTTTTTTTTTCCCCCTCCAGGCACTAGTGCCATATTGCACCTCTGCACATGGCCCTGTTGGTCCATTACAGCTCTTCGCTGGAAGGCAGCTGGCATCCAGGTAGCTCCATTGGAGGTGTCCGCAGTGAGCCAAGCAGCAAAAGGGCCACCAAACAGTGAGTTTCTGCGTGGGGAACTTAATTTCTGATTTGGGGACTAATCCAAGCTGAAGGACAAGTGTCATCTTCCCTTGTGTTTAGGCATGGGTAACGCTGTGTCTGAACCTGGGCAAGTTTTCCAAATGTCTTTGTCACTTGGCCTGTCCTCCCCATTACAGGGCACAAGGGGGCAGCCCCGTTTCCAGATCCATTTGGTTGTTCTCATCCCCGTGTGCTGCAAAAAGCTCTGAAGTGAGCGCATTTGGAGATGCTGTTTGGTTTTGTTTTTACCGGTGTCTTTCTAATGGAAAGAGCTCTTTGGAGGTACTAAATTATCAATTTTCTCACAGGTACCCGGAGTGCTGATTGTTACGGTTGTTTTTATTGATGTCTGGTCTGGAAACAGATTGCAGGTTTTGTTGTTTTTAATATAATGCGACGTGTCTCAGCATGCAGCCACAGGAATGTAATATAACAGGGAATCGGCCTGCTCGGAAAGTGCAGCCGTGGGTTATTGCCCTTTGGCTGGAAACAGGCTTCATTTTTTTTTCTTCTTTGCAGTTCTCAACCAAGGAAGGTAACTCAAACCTTTGGCAAATTCTGTGTTTGTAACTGCGTCGTTGTAACACACACCACTACCACACTAATTCATTCTGTGGGTATCCCAAACCCACCTCGTTCCTGTTTTGGCAATCTGATGGTGTATGATACGATATCTGATGGGATGTGTAGAGGCAGCTCAAGCTTTCCTCCATGCCTCAGGAAATTTGGTTTTATCCATGTAAGAATTTTTGGGCAGCACAGGTAAACTTATTATGGTGGCAAAAGAGATTTTGGGGTGGAAATGGGGATGTTTGGGGGCTGGGAGGTGCCAGTGGTTATTGGGGTGGCTGCAAGGTGTCTGGAGGGGAGCAAATGTGACGGTGGGGGCAGCAGCAAGGGAATGCTGGAGGAAGAGAGCTGACAGCAGCCTGTCTGGACAAGATGAGGGCAGGGAGAGACCTGGAAATGCATCTGTGGAGCTTTGGAGGCCCAGCAGGATGGAAGCAGGTACTTGGGGCACTCAGCTTTGCCACCCGCTCCCTCTGGGAGGGGGGAAGATTGCTGTGGGTACAGCTCGGTGCAGTGCTCAGCTGTCTTGAAGCCAGCACGTACAATTGCTGATCTTGCACTGGCTTTTGTGAGCTGCAAAATAAAATGAGTAGTTAGCATGTGTTGTTTCACAGTTCTTCTGAACTCTTTCGTTTTTTTTTTTCTCCATTGTATCAGAAGGGCTGCACCAATTCCTTGTTGGAAAGGAGAGGGAAATGCTGAACCTGTGCTGTTGAAGCTGATGTCAAAACCTCGGTGTTTTCCAGACAGTGACAAGGCAGAGGCCGTGGAGAAGGATTGCTGGCACCTCCTCAGGGTCTGTGTGTCCTGCCTGGCCCCAGCTGGATGGGCTCAGCCTGGATCCTGTTGGTGTGAGGGGATGGGTGAGCACACAGAGCACTAACAGCACTGCCATGTGCTTAGCAGCACAGGTGTGCTGGGGACGCAGGTGGCACATGCCCGAGGCTGCTTTTGCCTGCGTGAACCTGATATTTGTTGTCTTTTTAACCCGGGGTTACCAACGAAACAAAGATTAAGTGACTGTTTGCTCTTGCTGTGCTCCTGCCTGTCTCTCTGTCCCTGCTGGTAGCTGCTGTGCTGTTTGGCCCTGAGATACGATGTCGTTAATTCTGAGAAACAGCACCTGAATGGGAGAACAGGATCCTAGCAGATTGCTCGTTTGTGAGGCTCCCGTTTTATTGGGCAGCAGGACACCGTTTGCTGTGATGCTGTAGGAAATGTGCCTAAGTAATGCATCTCCTGTGGGGGTGGTGGAGGAAATCAAGTCCTGGCTGTGCGTGAAGAAGTGGTTGCCTACACGTTGCATCAACCTCCTTGTCTTTAAAGTAATGCAATGCTGTCAAAAAGCATAAGGATGGCTTCTCTACGAGACAGCCCTGCTCTCTGGAGGTAGGGTATCCATGGTCTGTCCAGGGAGCAGATGCTGTTGGAGTAAAAGGAGCAGCTGCTGCTGCTGACTGCATTCATGGAGAACTCTGCAGTGCTTGTAAGGAGCAGAGCAGCCCTCGCAGGGCTGAACCGCAGCCCGCTCCGTGCTGCCTGGGTGGCAGGAGGGCTGCTGGCTGTGAAGAGGATCCTGCTTCAAAAATGTTTATGGTGAGCCTGCTCCTTTATGCTGAAAACATTTTTGTTTCCTATTCTGGGCTTTATTTTTAGCTGCTCCGCTGTGAAATCTGTCTCACTTAAATAGACCCCGTTCTCTGTTTTCGGTGGTGCTTCTGGCATAAAGTCAATAAACTTATTAAAGAGGAATCTCTGGAGGATTTCACAGAACTTTCTGAGATTGACAACAGGTGGAACAAATGCATTGTAGGTTATATTTAAACCGCACTGATTCGAGGCAAGTGTTCACGTAGGAAACAAACTCATGGCTATTCCCAGCTGAGCACTTACCCAAAAATGGGGGGCACTGGAAGGGGCAAGGAGCCCCCTGCTCTGTGCTCCTGCACTGTGGTGTGGCCAGCTGGGTTCCTGTTCTTCCCAGGGGCTGTTGAGAGACTTTGTTCAGTGCAGTGCTGGAGTATGGTGTGATAGGAGCTGAAGTAAACCTCCTGATGACCCCAGTCCAGTGGGAATACCTACATGAGAAAGATAAACACTTGAACTTGCAGCTTATTCTTCAAAATAGAGCTATAAAACCTTCTGAAGGCATCCGGAGAGGTAAAAATTTATAGCTCTGAATATAAAATGTTCTAAATTCAAGTGAGATACTGACTTCAAGACAGTGTTTTTTTTTTTTTTTTTTTTTTTTTTTTTTCCTCCACCGTGAGCTTTTTCAGTATCACATATGCTAACTTCCTGCCTTACCCTGTACTGCAGGAAGGGTGCTCACCATTTCTGTGCTCTGTTACAGGTGCATTTTCCCCTTAGATTGCCTAATTGGTTTATATAATTAACTTAAACCTGGAGCAATTGTTCCTAATCTGTGCTTAGCTTGAGGTTTTCAGCCTGTGTCACACTTGAAAAGGAGCTTCTGGGCCTGTGAGTGTACTCATTACACTTTCAGCTGCATCCAGTTGATTAAATACGAGGTGCTGCTTCCTTCTGAAAACCTTGTCTCTCTAATAAATCTTTGGAGGCATAAAGCAGAGATTCTGCACGTCCTAATGCACGTCGTGCAAGGAGCGGGGATTTTTGAGGCTGTAACGTTGGTTGGGTTAGGAGCTGGTAATAGGGTTTGATGGACCTACGCTGACAATGTTTGGGAGCTAAAGGAAACAAACTGTGCTGGCAGTTGCATTTTTTCTCTTAGAGGGGACTACGGCGATTTCCCTGATATTGCTGCACCGGCATGTGAAGCAAAGCTGTCTGTTATCACTCACGCTTCAAGTGCTGGGAGAAACTTTAGAGACCACGATCATCTTCTATTCAGGAGCAGAGGTAGTTCTTGCTGTGGGAAATCTCCCTGGGAAATCCGTCTCTGAGATCTCCCAGCTCCTCTGCCAGAGGTGTTCTGCCAATTTGAGGGAAAAGAATCGTTCTTATAAATAAATCCTGCAGCAAGCATCTGACGTGAGGGATGCCTGTGAAAAAGGTGTGTTCTTGGAAAAGTGAAAAAAGTGCAGAGTGATGGGGTGGGAGAAAGCATATTGAGCCACCCTCTTTGTGAGGAGAAGGCTAAGGCTCTTGTTTTAGGGTAAGGGCTGCTCCTGGCCTAAGGGTGGGAAGCAGCCAACACCTTTCCAACACCCTTTTATTTGCTTCTGGGGGCAGAGATGGCTCTGTTTCAGGGTGTGAGGTAAGGCACATCCCCTTGTTCACCCCATGTAGTGCCTGCGTGATCCCAAAGTGTGATGTCCAACATGGGTGGGTACCTCTGAGGCATAGTTGTGTTTTGCTGTGGTCACAGCACTTTGATATTGAGTGGGCAGCGTTGGGGTCTGCTGCAGGGTGACGGCTCCTTGGTGCTGCCAGGTTTCTTTGCAGTGTGGTGCCCCTCCACAACAGTAGGGTTGAGAGCCTGGCAAACAGGGGAGGCCAAGCTGGGGTTCACAGATGTTGCACTGTGGTTTATGGACAGATTTCCTTTGACATTTTCTAGTCAGAAGAGCTTCAGGTCCTTCTTGCAATGGCTGGTGGCAGAAGTTGACCCCACGATGGGCCTGGGCAGCCCACAGGGGTTAGAGCAGCCCTGCGGCCCCACACAGGTGCTCAGGAGAGGAAAATGTAGATGTGCTTTGAAGTTGTTTGTTCTAAATGCACCAAACAAAAACATTTTTTACCATAACTCCCATCCAAACAGAAAAATGCCTTGATAAACATCCTTGTTCTTCACCAAAATTGTCAATGCATTTTTCAACCTTCCCAAAATCTATTTCGGCACTGAAGATGAATGCAAATAATTTCCATGTATAACATTTTTATTTTCTGGGAGAAACAAACATAGCTACTGGGAAGGGAAGCCTGACTTGAAATCATCTCTCTGTATACCCTGAGCGTGAAGGCCAGTACTTTATAAGACTCACAGTATTGGTAACTTGGCAACTTTTAAATCATGAAAGATTTACATAAGTGCTGCAGAGTTGGAAATGTTTTATGACATGTTCATTCACACTAAATCAGGCTCTGCCTTTTTAGAGTTTTCTTTCTAGACAGTTATGCAAATGCAAAAAGACAGGAATGGATTTAAAATGATTTTCAGCACTGGCAGATTAGCAGAAAGTGACAGACTGCCACAAAACACTGCCATCTCTGCTCCTGCAGACTTCCAGCTCTGGTAGGGATAGGATGGGCAGCAAAGAGAAGAAGGAGGAAGAGATTAAGGGTTTTAGTTTTCTTGTCATTATTGGAACCTTTATGTGCTTGGGTGGGATGATGAGTCTGTTTCTGCAATGTGGCTGTTATGAAACTGTAAGGGTTATAGAGAAACCAAGTTCACACCTTGTCCGAGCCTGGCGTGTAACTTCTCAGGCTGAGGGAGCTGGGGGTGTTCAGCCTGGAGAAGAGAAGGCTGCAGGAGACCTCACAGTGGCCTGGTAGGGCCTAAAGGGGCTGCAGGACAGCTGGGGAGGGATTCTGTGTCATGGGGTGGGGTGATAGGGCGAGGGGTGATGGCTTTAGGTTGAAAAAGGGTAGGTTCAGATTAGATATAAGGAGGAATTTCCTTACTTTGAGGGTTTTGAGGCTGCCTGGAGAAGCTGTGGATGCCCCGTCCCTGGGGGTGTTCAAGGCCAGGCTGGATATGGCTTTGAGCAACCTGACCTAGTGGGCCCATGGCAAGGGGCTGGAATTAGATGATCTTTAATGTTCTTTCCAACCCAAACCATTCTATGATGACTGTTTACCCATCTTTAACTGAAAACGAGCTAGGAAACTTCTCCTTGTGGTCATATCCAAGGGCTGGATCCTGCAGAGCATCTACACTGATAACTCTTTCTTGTTTAAGTGGCTGCGCTTATTTTCTGCTATGGATATAGGGGAGATGAACTAGCTTCTACCACATGATGGGCATAGGGCAGAATTATCCTGTCCTGTTGCTGCCCCACCCCAAATCCCCCAAATTAGAAGTGCGGTGTTGAATACCCCTCATCAAAAAAGGCATTTCTCAGAACCCTGAAAAGCTCAGCTCTCCCTCTGGTCTTCTAAAGGCTGCATTGCCCATTGTATTTTCTGTGTGCTTTCAACTTGCATGCATCTGCAGTTCTTAATGGATGATTAATTGGCTTAACGTAAAAGATAAATTCATGGAAATAACCTCCTGTGTCAGAGCCCTGCACCCTGCCGAGGTAGGCTACTCATCATACAATCCCCATGGATATCTGATATAATTTGCAAAGAATAATGCCTAAAAGGACTCGAGTTGATAGGGTCTGGTCTCTGTCACCAGCATGGCTGTCCATGACTCAGGTGACATGCTGAGGACAGAGGTATTTGTACTTGCAACCTTCACTTTGATTTATGAGTCCTTTGCTGTACAATCATACATTCTCTGAAGGCCAAAGAAACTGAAGAAATCCAGAATAGCCCCATAGATAATTGGCTTTTGAATTTAATTCTTTGTCAGTTTTTTATTTGGGACCTACTCTGGCCGACTGAGTCACTGTTTTGCTTTGAA